ATTCACTCCTAGAAACATCAGCAAGTCACAACCACCAAAAATATGGGGACACCAAATGTCTTGAAAACACAGCAAAATCTTCATCCCTTTTGCCTCACTCCAAAAAGATGTGGGAATGGGGCAGGGGATAATACATTATCCTTTTAAGCCTTCATTTCACTGCACTCTCAAATACACCAGTGTCATGGAAAAGAAAATCAAGTGAATAAATGTTGCAATTTATATATATTTGAATAGATAACAAGAACAATTTTACTGTTTGCCATAAATGAAAACCCCACCAAATCATTCCTCTAATTGAGGTTCTGAAGCTCTGTTTATGGCTGCAAAGTGATTTGATAAAAAAAATTTACACATTTTGAGTTATTATATCACCCAGAAATTTGATGCCACTTAACTATGTAATTTTCAGAAATGATATAAAACCACTGCAGAAAAATATTCAGGGAAGCCCAAAAGACCTCTTTTTATCTGTTTTTATGAGTCTAAAATGAGAACTCGCAGAGATCCTTGCTCTGTATGTGAAGGCTGAACTGCCACCTCGGGAGCTTTATTAATATGTATGTAAATATGATCTGGTTAGATCCTGTGTTTCTGTGCCGTTTCACAAGGTGGAGCGGCTAACTAAGCCGAGCAGATCAACGCCCTGTGATTTTTTTTCCCCTCCCAAGTAGCAACATTTAAAGATTCAAAGAGAATGAGGACAGCAGGCTCATTTATGCAAGATTGTCTCAAACATCCTTCCTTCCTTCCTTCCTTCCTTCCTTCCTTCCTTCCTTCCTTCCTTCCTTCCCTCTCTTCTCGCCCTCCACCCCCCGCCCCAACTTCCACACCTGTATCAAAACCAATTTACTTCTAACTTAGCATAAGCTTTTACATTAAAGACTGAGCAGAAACCAAAATGACATCACACAGAATCGGCAGCTACAATTTTTATTCCACTGAAAAGTTGCTTGACTGAATGGGGAAAAAGTGGAAATGCATTAGAAATATGTCCAAGTGGCACATCAAGATTATCCTCCATGAGGATATTGGGACTTCCTCTTTACACTGATGCTAATGTTATTTATGCATCTATATCCATGCCAAATTTTTGCTAAAGATGTTGCACGATTAAAAAAAAAATAATAATAAAAGGAAAAAGAAAGAGAAACCTAGAAGATAAGCCTCTGTGCTGAGAGTTCAGCACAGAGTTCAACTCAGCATGCCTTGCTGTATATAGGATAAAATGGAATATTTGACATCAGATGAGCTTGTTTTTCCCTATAAGGATGGTGTTTCTCTATGAAAACTCCTCAAATCCCTTACATATTATGAAAACAGAAAAGATTATTATCTTAATACAAGATATTTAGTGCAAGAGAGTGCTTTCTCTCCCCTAATTTAAAACAAGGGACCATAGTACTTTTAAAGCTAGCAAAAAGCTTGTTTTCTTCTTGCAGATTATGCTCCTATTTTGCTTGGCCTTTTTTCCTTTCTTTTAGACACATTTGTGTGTGGGGGGGGAAGGGAAGGGGGGGGGGGGGGGGGGGGGTTTGGTGTTTTGTTGCTGTCGTGGGGAGCTGCCGTCCCAGCTTTGCAGGCCGGTGTCGGAGGCCGGAGCTCGCCTCGTGCCCAGGACCGCGGAGAGGAGGCGGGGGGGCTCAGCCCCGGTGCCGGCGGCGGGCGCCCAGCGCGGCCGCGCATCTCGGGACAAAGCGGGGCGATGCCGGGGCCGCGCCGCCCGGGCAGCCCCCGGGGACCCCGGGCCCTCTCAAGGGGCTGCTGCGGCCGGTGGGGAAGAGACAGAAGCGCGGGGCCAGCTGCAGATGGAGGCAGGTCGAGGGATAGGTCAAGGTTAGAAAGAGCCTGCTATTGATCTGGCTTTGAACGCGAGACAGGGAGAGCAGAGAGACTAAAGGGGGAGCTGTGAGACAAGACATTAACAGCTTTCAGTGCTAATGATCACAAGTGCCAGACAGGGGAGGAAAGAGAAGACTGAGAAATCACTTTGGAATTTTTTTTTTCTCTATTGGGATGTATTTTCGGAGGAGGAGGAGGCAGGCTGGGGGTCAACCCCCGAAGCCCTGCCCGCAGCCGGAGAGACGGGAGGGGAGTTGCGGCGGCCCCGCTGCCCCGGGCGGCCGGGGAGTCCGCCTGGTCAATCATTGCCGGCCCTTATCTCCTGCTCTCGGTGCCCACAGGAAGACACTGGTTAATCAACAGATGATGCCCAGTAACTTCCCGATAAGCCGCTCTCCCAAGGGGTGCAGCTTCCTGCAGCTCGCCGAAGAACGGCGGCGGCCGGACTTTGCACCCCACAAGGGCCCCGAGGCCGCGGCCGCAGCCCCGCGGCGTGGCCTGGGGCTGGGCAGCAGCGCAGCCACACAAAGCCCCTCGGCCCCGCCAGCCGCGAGCAGAGCGGCGTCAAAGCGGGGAGAGCCGTGCGGGCAGCTCCATCCCCGCTGATCGGCCCGGGCCCCTTCCGCGGGGGCGGAGGTCAGCGATGAGAGACTCTTCTCCCCTCCAGCTCCTCCGCGATGGTGCCGCATCCTTTATCCCGACTCGGACACGGCTGCCTAGCAGGGCAGGAGTGGGGGCTCCCCCTCAGGGCCCCGGGGTCGTGGACCTGTCCCTCTCCGCCCAGCGGCGGGGCCCCTGCCATCACCACGGTCATTTTCCTTTGCAGGACCCCGCAGAACACACCAAACACACAGAGGGAACAATCGCAGCAGTTTAAGCGCCGTTAATTGTCTTGGACGTGTTTGTCGAGCGTTAGTAGAGGCGAAGGGCCGGGCGGGGGCACGGAGGGCAGTGCCAGGCTGGCCCGGCGCCCACCGGCCGGGGCCGGGGGTGCCCGCCGCCCTCGGCACCCGCCGGGCCGGGCTGCGGGGTCTGGCAGCGCCGGAACGCGAGCTGTGAGCGGGCGGGCGGGCGTGGGGAGGGAGAGGCAGATTTGCTGGAGGAGGCGAGAGCGATGCTGTTTAGCCAAATTCTCCTCAAAGCTGATTAAGGGCACCGAGATGAATTCTGGTCCCCTCAAGAGTCTCATGCGATTTAATACGAAAATCACTCATTTAACGTGGAAAGTAAATGACACGAGTGCGGCGCGGGTTTCCAAGTGGGCTCCGGGTACAGGCTGGTTCCTTGATTTTCTGCTCCATCTGCCTCCGAGCCCCCAGGCCTCCCCTCTCCCCGTTCCTCTCGCCCTGGCCAGACCTGGTGCTGAAAAGCTGTTTGCACCGAACTGTTTACTTATCGGGGGAGGAGGAAGAGAAACAATCTCAGGAGATGGGCCGGGAGAGCGGAGGTAGAAGGGGAAAAGTTGGTTTCCAAGAATCTTCCAAGTTAGAAACGCACGCAGTTGTGGGCATTTACCTGCGTGTGAAATAGAAGGACAAGTGCACTGGGATGCAGCTCCTGGGAGCTCGGCGTCTCTCCGTTCGTAGCTGAGACTTAATTTCTCCAAGGAAAAATAGTCTCTGCCAGGATTTTAAGGGAAGGGGGGCTGGGGGGTGGGAGAAGGTCGGAGCGTGTGTGCGTGTGCGGATCGGGTGTGCGCGCGTGTCCCGCTACCATCGCACTTCGGGTAGGGAGAGAGGAGGGGGAAAAAATCCCTTTCCCCAGCCCACACAGATATTTGTGTTGTTGTAAAACTGTTTGAAAGAAATGCAGGGGGAACGCGCTCTCCGCCGAGGAGCTGCGGCGGCGCCTGGAGGGAAGGAAGAGCAGCCCGCGACCCCTGGGGAGCCTCCGTTCCTGGGCACGGACGGAGGGAGCACGACCCAGCGCCGAGCCCGGGCGGCGGAGAGCGGCGGCCGCGATGGGCAGCGGCGGCCTTTG